CTGAACCTCACCACCAGCTGAGACCGAAAACACACGCGCGGTGCATATAGTCCACCACTGAAGTCTACCAGGTGAGTCATAAGCCGCTCATCAATGTCTCGCCCCCTATTATTCTCAGTCGTTGCAGATCGAGAAATGGTTTCGCCCTGATCCATTGGCCTTCCCAAGCAAGCAAACTTCGAATAGGTAGTAGGGGTCACGAACAGACAACCACCAGTCAGCCCGAAATCGGTCAAAGTACAATAGCAGGGATGAACGACAGAATTTAGGGATAATTGGAAACAGAACTGTTTCGGACTTATATGGCCTCATTCACAAAAGCATATCCCTGACCACCTGCAGGAGCCGTTAACAAAAACATCCACCGGATCTTCCAAATGAGTCATAAGCACTTCGTCGAACCGACGTTGATCATTTTCTTGTACCCGCCATTCTCTCTCACTGCAGATCGAGTATTTATTCATTCAAGAAAGGCCCAGCATCCAAAGGAGTGTAATCAGGAATATCCAAAGTTATTTGAGAACGAAACAAGTGTATTATTCCATTGTCTACGTATGTTACTAGTTGCTATGTGACTGCCCTTAAGGGCTCTAGCTTGAGCCACAAAGCCTTCAACAAGACGAGCATGTCCCGTAACACGTTCGACGACCTTCCCTCTATCGTAACTATATATATGCAGAATGGCATTATCGACAAAGACAAGGGAGGCTGGGCTGGCCGTTTCTGGCTTATTAGCCGTCATCAGCCAGCTATACCCAACCCCAGAGGTGACGACCTCCAAGGCTCGAACCCGCGACCTTTTGGTTAGAAGTCTAACGTCCCAATCATTCAAGCCACGGTATCGTTTTCCTGGCGGTTTCGATCGGGAATATTGACATTCATCAAGGAACGCTCGCCGCTGAGTGTATGGGTATTAGTCTCAGTATCCATATTTCTACGGTTCGACGCAGATTTTGAATATTATGTTTTCCTTCGTTGACATTTGAGAATCTCGGCTGGCAACATTTATATGAAATTTCGTACTTAATCTCAAATAACTTCTCGCAAGTAATTTAATGCAAATCCGCACGAAAATTAATGACTAAAGCTCAACACTAGGAGTGCTCTAAGGTGTACTGTTTTCCGTGCATCACATCTTAACTAGCTTATAAATGGAGGATTTTATTGGAGAAAAGATATAATTTCAAGGCTAATGTGCAACTTGACTGAAACTCCTTCCTACGAACAGCCATCAGCTTCTCTAACTTTGATAACGTTGAATTTTATTCATAGGAGGCAGCAAACCCACGGCAGCCAAAAATGTACCTGAAATCTTTGCTTGTAGCAGGAACTGTATATTGTGTTTCATACCGAAAGGCGTCTTCCATGACACTGACATCTCGATGATTAGTTGGCTAGGTTTTTGATGTTTTTGTTTTTAGACTGGTTGCACCACATTGCACAGCATGTCGCTAATCGATCTGATCAACAATCCGGAGAGGGTGCTTCAGTGCATTTGTTTTGTCTGATAATGTCTCATGTGCCTGTGGCTTCTGCCGTCGTCTCGTGAGTCGCAACTACGTTCGATCAACTCTAATGGTTTAGAGGGATGGAATTGCCGGTAAAGACAAGCGAGACTAGAATGGCTATTTCTGGCTCGTTAG